GAACAGTGGGGAGGGGATCTGTAGGAGAGAGAGGGGGCCGAAACAAGAGGGTCTTCCGCTTTAGGCCAGCAGTATCTGCGCCATCACAGAACATCTCTTCTCTTCTCTTCTGCGAGAATGGCTCTCTTCTCCTCTGTTGCTGGGAGTGTTTTTCCCTGGGCGTGTACTTTGTGTGCAACTTTGTTTCACAACAATGTGTGTGTGCATGTGTGTGTGAATCTATGTTTCCCGCTTCTTACACGTGATTTCAAATGTCAAATGATATTTATGTCTAGGTTTTAAGTGCATGATTAATGAGTGTGTGTGTGTGTGTGTTCTTGTTTGTATCTGTGATTGTATTCCCCTTGCCCTCAGCATGTGTGTGCTTATCCCAGGAAACAGACAGGTCCCACTTCAAAACCAAATTTCTGATTGTCCTCCCCAAAGTCTGAGATCCTGATGTCCAGCAGAGGGAGCTGCTCCACCTGAGGTGTGTTCACCTCCAGCACTGTCCTGTCCAAGCCTTTACGATACTGCAGGGGGAAAAGGCCAAAAAATATTTAGGGACAGAATACCTTAAGATAATGGGGGAAAAAGATGTGTAAGGTTTTTTATAATAAACACTTTTTTAGTGCTGTCAAATAAAAGTTTTTGTTTACATAATATATCTGTGTACTGTGTATATTTATGATGTATATATAAATTCTCACACATACAGTATATATTTTGAAATATTTACATGTATTTATATGTACATATTTATATTCTTATAATTTATATTATATTTAAATATATTTAATATATAAACATAACTTGTTTTTCATAAATATATTTATTAGTGCTGTCAAATGATTAATCACATTCAAAATAAAAGTTTTTGTTTACATAGTATGTGCTGTGTATATTTATTATGTATATATAAATACACACATGCATGTATATATTTAAGAAAAATAAGTTATGTTTATATTTTAAATATATTTTTATATAATATAAATTATATGAATATAAATATATACACGTAAATATTTTTGAAATATATACTGTACGTGTGTGTACTTATATATACATAATAAATATACACAGTACACACACATATATTATGTAAACAAAAACTTTTATTTTGGATGCGATTAAAACCAACCCCAAGCACACAAAACATACACAAATACACACGTATAAATTCTGAAAAAACAACTTACCTGAAATGTGACAACCATAATGAGGAAACATGTGAAAACAAAAACAGAGAGACAATAAATTAACAAACATCCATACAAATTTGTTCACATAAAACACTTAAAATTATACAGAATTAGTCAGTACACTTATTTCAGAACAACTTCTAGCATCTGTTGCATCTATATGTTTTTAAAGGCTAGATGCTGAGGCTGCTCACAATTGTAGCTGTGAACAGTGTTTTCATCACGGACACTTGATACCGCCTGTAGTTCACGTCTCAAGCCCATGTCCCCTCCCGCGCCCTTGCGCTGTGGTGTAAACACACATTGTTAGGTTAGAGGTTAAAAGTGTTGTGCTTAGATTCTTTGACAGTAATCTAATTTCTCTTCTCTTGCGCATCTATATTTATTTGGTTTTGTCAACACTCAGGGCTCTTTTTCTCCCTTTTGCCTTCAGTGTATTGATCTCTCTAATGGATTGGATCTGATTCCAGAGAGTCTAACATGCTTTTGTATCCCTTTATTTTCACCCAGGAAAATCGACCAAGCAGGCCTGAAAATCAGCCAGGATCAGGTTTTAAGGAATCTACTGTTGTGGGAAGACTTGGTGAGTGACCAGAGAACTTTAACCATCCAATAGGACATTTTCAGATAACATCCTTTTACTCTTTATTTTGGTTGCTGTTTTTAGTTTTTGTTGATTTTAGAAGTTTTTATTTTCCCTGCGGACAACAATCCTGCCATTGCTAATTCTATTGAAATGTCTTTAAACCATAATTTATATAATAACAGAGGATTTGCTGTGCTACACATTTTGCAGGAGATATATGTAACGTGAAGATCTCAGCTGGCTGCAGATTGACTGATACTTCTTTATACTTCTTGTGTTGAGGTTTTAATTGTCACAGATAACTTGGTCACAGGTTTGTGTCCTTACAAAATTAACAAAAGGCCAAACTAAGCATAAAACATTACAACTGTAGCACACACAAACCCAGGTTGTCCTGGCCTTTCCCACAAGGAGCAGAGTTGAATATGAGAAGAGAGTAGATCAATGACCAGGCTGGATTTCTACCTCCAACTCTGAAACCTGAGCGTAGTGTGTGAAGATATCAATGAATTCCTTCACTTCCTCACACGTTCGAACAAATTGAACTTGTAAGGAGCCGCATGAGGGGCAGGACTGAGAGGCAACCTGGCAATCCTGGCTTAAACCAAACTAGTTCAGCCAGAGAAGTTAACAGGTTCCCAGTGGGTGTGTAAATACGCCACATGAGGAGTATGTGCTTCCTCATAGCTCTCTGACTTACATGTATAGGCAGGGTACGACAGGAAGGACACACTTGTTAAATGAACCCTGATTCCTGTTCATGTGGGGTCTTTTCAAAAATCCTTAACCGAGGAGATCACTAAGGCCACTGAGGTGGTTACTATTGTTTGTTTACACAGGGTGTCACTACTGTATGTAAAACTAAAAGTGTTATGTATCATTTTTTATAAGGTTTATAGGCCTTACAGACAGACTCAAAAGTGAGTCAGTTCTCTTAATTGTGCTTTTTCCACAACTCTGCTGTGAAATGACACACTTCAGCTTTAAAAACCTTCAAAAGAATTTTAAGTGTTGGACTAATAGAATCATTAGCCGTAAGATCAAATCAGGTTTTGTATTGTGTTCAGGAGCTTTTTCCTCTCAAACCAGGTGCCGGCAGTATGAGACGTGCTGCCCCATTTCCCCCGAGACAACTCTATTTGTGAGGCTGCCGAGGGTTTAACAGTGCAGAGAGCAGGAGGAGTAATGAGAGGCCGGTGACATCTCATAAACTTGTCCACCTCACACACACACGCACACAAACAAACCTGTGAGAGCCCCTCTGCCACAGGACCGAGTGAAATCACTGATCTCTGACATCTGTGCCGTGGTAGTCGCCAGTGTCTGATGGAGCTGCCGGTCAAAGCGCTTAAGACTTGAGCTACAACCTAAGGAGGGTCCCTCGATGGTCACAAAAATGATAGAATCATATGTAGCAATCAGAAACAAAGTCTGCTCTGTCTGTCATAAACACCTGTCCTTCAAATGCCCTGATGTTTCAGGCGATGATGTGGAAACCGCTCGTACTCACGGTGCAGGTGTGGATCTGTCTGCTCCCCAGCCCCACATACCCAGTGGCGCTTTTTCCCTTTGAGGATGAGAAGACGAGTAAAGATGAAACACTCTCTTTTCCTCTTCCCATATCTCTTGAGCAGATCCTATCAGGCTTTCTGTGACATTTGACAGTAGCCATTTCCAAAAGCATGCGAAGATCTCCTCCATTCCTTCGTTACCGGTCAGGAACTCTGCACCCGTGCCGTCGGCAGCCTCAGTGTCAGTCTCAGAGAGCATCTTACTGCCGTCGACGGAGCGCTTGGACTTCTTAGGGATCTGAATGGGCAGCGGCTGGATGACATCTCCAGGGGGTCCCTAAAGAAAAAGGAGAATATAGTTGCATTTCAAGGAACTCTGGGATGCACTGATCTCTAATTTGTCTTGAATGAAGTTCATCTCAACAAAATAATTTCACTGCCAAATGATGATTGTGCATTTTGTATGATAGATAACAGATATAACTCACAGGTGGTCCTGGTGGTCCTTGTACACCCTTTTCTCCTTTAGGACCACCTCCGCCCTGCACCACAGAGAGAAGGCATACAAAATTAGTGTAATTTTAAGTGTAAAGTCTAAGACATATGTATCATACTTTATTTAAACACTACCTCACATAATATGGCTCATGATATACTCTTCACACAATTATAAATATTTAAGGAAGGAATACCCACAGTGGCACCTTTAGCTCCTTTGATACCCCTCGGACCCTGTGAGAAACATCACATCCATTCAGCTTTAATCCAAGACACCAGTGTTTTGAGATGATCTATTTTGGTGCGTCAGTACTCAAGTTGAGTACTCATAGTTTCAAGATTATTTAAAAGGTTTAACAAAGGATTGAGTATGAACAATCAGTGCCGTCATCAAGTACCTAAGACACATTCTCCACAAAATACGGTATGAGAAACAGCTCTACTAAATGGCAGTGAAAGTTTACTCACAGGCATACCAGCAGGACCTGCAGGACCAAGAGGACCAGTTCCTCCAGACATACCCTAAAATAAAACACATTAAGAAATAAGGGGAAAAAACTTGGCATTTGATGATATGAAACGGGATATGAACTGGGAAAGTTTTGCATGTACACTACTGCTCAATGGACAGATTTTTAAGGTTTTTTGTTAGTCTCTTCTGCTCACCAAGACTGCATTTATTTGATAAAAATACAGTAAAAACAGTACAATTGTTAAATATTCTTAGAATTTAAAATAACTGTTTTCTTTTGTAATATTTTTAAAATGTATTTAATTCCTGTGATCAAAGCTGAATTTTCAGCATCATTACTCCAGTCTTCAGTGATCTTCAGAAATCATTCTAATATGCTGATTTGCTGCTCAAGACACATTTCTTATTATGATCAGTGTTGAAAACAGTTGTGATGCTTTATATTTTTGTGGAAACTGTGATACATTTTATTTCCCAGGATTCTTGAATGAATAGAATTGAACAATTTGCAACATTAAAAATGTCTTTACTGTCACTTTTGATCAATTTAATGCATCCTTGATGAATCAAAGTCATTTCTTGAAATAAAAAATCTTACTGACCCCATGAATGTATAGAATTGAATCATTTGCAACATTAAAAATGACTTTACTGTCACTTTTGATCAATTGAATGCATCCTCGATGAATCAAAGTCATTTCTTGAAATAAAAAATCTTACTGACCCCAAACCTTTAAACAGTAGTGTATATTTGTGGTCTGATTTTGATGTGCGGAGGACGTGACCAGACATCACATACCGTTTCTCCCTTGGGTCCAAAAGATCCCTGTGGTCCAGGCATGCCTCGGTCTCCCTTCTCTCCTTGTTCTCCTGGAGGCCCAATCAGACCAAGCATACCTGGATGTCCCTTCTCACCCTTAGCACCGGGGTCACCACGAAGACCTGCCAAACCTGGAGGACCCTGTATTCAATATACATACATATATCTCATGAAACTGTAATAATAGTTCACTTCTTAGTGTAAGTGTTTCAGGAATCAATACTTGTATATTGCATACACTGATAGTACAGTCTTTTTCCCTAACCTGCACCTCCATAAGGTGTGTGTTTGCTGTAATGCTCTAATACAGAAGATCTTACCATTGGACCAGGAGGTCCCTTCTGGCCAGCAGCACCTGGAGCACCTTGCTCACCCTAAATAACATTATCAGTTATCAGAAGATCATTTTGGTAAACATTATATTAGCTATTGATAAATAAACAGATTAAAAACACAATTCCAATATCTTACCACTGTTCCAGGCAACCCTCTTAGACCCTCAGTTCCTGGTTTTCCTGGTTGACCCTGTGGCCCCACAGGGCCTGTCTTTCCTGGAGGGCCAAGGGCACCTGAATCCCCCTAAAAAACATGTTACATGAGGACAAAAAAACTACAGAAAGCGTGCTTATTTGTTGCAGCTGTATTTCCTTTAATTTACATAGTCCTACCTTGCTTCCCTTCTCTCCCTGACGACCCTCCGGTCCCCTTGTGCCTGGAGGACCCTGAAATATGAACATTAAATATGTCCAGAAATATGCATTTTTCTATTCGATCATGCATACTTTTTTTTTTGTAAACCAAATATGTAAATACAACTTACCCTCTGTTACAGTGAAATACACCATCAATGATCCGTTATACAACAATACAGAGCTTACAAATGAACATATGATGGTGGTAATGTTGGGCTGTTGTAAAATAAGTTAATCTTACTCTCTTTCCTGGAGGTCCAGGTGGTCCGTTCTCACCGGTTGGCCCAGGTGAACCCTAAAGCAATGCAAAAATAGTGCTCAGTGTATCCTGAGAAACACCTTATAAGTATGCATAAGGAAGATGTGCTCTATAGGAGGATGATCACTCACAGATTCTCCTTGTTCTCCATCCTCTCCTCTTTCACCCTTTGCTCCATCTTGGCCCTGCAAAGAAGATCAGAAAGAAAGTCAAATATTTTTTCTTGCACTGATGAATCATATACAATAAGATCAGGAACATGTATGAAGAATGGGTCAAATTCAATTTCATGTTGACTTTACACAAATCACGTTTAATTATATAAACGAAAGCTCTACTCACTCGTGGTCCAACTTCACCAGGGGGACCGGGATCACCAGGGAAACCAACAGGACCCTTGAAAACACAAAAATCAGCTGCTGAAGAGTCACACATAGACCTGTTTCTCATTTCAAAGCTCAGTCACGTTTAGCACATACAGGGTTTCCTTTGGGTCCGTCATCTCCATGGGGTCCTTTTCCACCAGCAGGACCAGAGGTGCCCGGCTGCCCAGCCTCTCCCTTCTCACCACGCTCTCCTCTCGGGCCCTGCCATCAGATAAGCAAACCAATAAGGTGTTAGCTATTTTACATCTATTAAATGAATAAATATAAATGTAAGCATTTTGCACAGGTTCAGAGGACAATAAAAATGTTTGGACTAAAATTCTCACCATTTTTCCTGGCTCTCCACCAAGACCAGGTGGTCCGGATTCACCAGGCTCACCCTGTCAATACAAATAAAACGACGTCAAGTGCCATCAATCAGATTTGCTGATCTTGTCAATAAAAGTCATTATTCATGCAGAAAGTTGAACTCTTTTATACTTGCCTTCTCTCCTATGGGACCTGGATTACCCAAACCTCCTGGAGGACCTTGAGGACCCTGAAAAATTAAGGATGTGCATTAAATTAGACAAAAAATGCCTAATTTACTGACCACAGAATGCCATGATTGACCAATCTGAATAAAGTATTCCAGAGAGTCATTGCTTAGTGATCATAAAACATATAATAATGAACTGTCATCATTTGTAAAATTATTATTCATAGTGCAAATTAAGGTACTTACATCAGCACCATTAGGACCAGCTGGACCACGTGGACCTGGGGGACCAGGAGGACCCTATAGAAATACATAACCAGAAAACATTCGGACATACAGGCATCATATATATACATTCTAAGGGTGATTCAAAATGCTAAAACATCATATGTTGCATTATACACATCAATTGCACCTTTAACTGCCTTTAAATCAAAATATTCAGACTCACCATTGGACCAACATCTCCCGTCTCTCCTTTTTCTCCAGCTGGGCCTGGCAAACCCTAAAGATGTGAATGAAGTACAAATAGCTAAAACATCCAGTTTGCAGAATTTAATTGGTAGGCGTGAATAAAACACAATCTGAATGCAGTACCTGCAGTCCAATGGGGCCTGGAGGACCTGGGAACCCTCTTGTCCCATCATCTCCC